TGTATGAAAGAGGGCTTTCGAGGGCTGAGACGATATGGAGTGATCCAAATGAGTGTCGATTCCCACTATTCGATGCTCTGGAAGTGCTTCCGTTCAGATGGATGTGTGCCATATATGCCCTAATGTTTATCGGTTTGATACACAAACTCTTTATCCAAATGACAAACAACTTTCTATATGATAATCAATTATGTTTTGCTCACAGGAAATGTAGGCATAATATTAGGTCTTAAGTACAGAATTAGTTGCATTGTATACCTCATGTGTTACTGGTATTTGTTTTTGTTGGACAAAAGCCGATGGAATAATCACTCCTATCTTTTTGGTCTTTTGGTGACATTGATGTCCACAACTGATTCACACTATATATGGTAATCACTTTCTATAGACTTTACAATAGTTTATCCGTAATTTACATATGTTTGCAATAATTGTGAATCATTTTCAGGTCTTTAGATAATTTTTTAGAGAATAAAAATTTAAATGAAAGACAAATTCCGTTTTGGCAGTACTTTCTTATAAGAAGTCAAGTATTTTTAGTTTATTTTATGGCCGGACTGAAGAAGATTGACGCCGATTGGCTCAATGGCTATTCTATGAACAATCTATCAGACCATTGGGTTTTCAGTCCTTTCAGGTTTGATATTGTTAAAACACACTAAATTCACAAATTAATAAAGACAAATAGGTCATAAAATAACGGGTTACTCTACTAACTGAATATACAACAGGTAAACCCTCCTAAACATAAACTGAATTGCTAACCTAAGAAAAAGGTGTGGAATAAAAGTCGATTCTTTGCTTACTTTTTCTGCCTTCTCTTTAATTCAATGAATTCTCGACTCTTTTCTATAGGTTTTTGTAGTTTCGCTTAAAATCAATGAATGGTTTGATAACTTAATTTAATTATAACCCATAGGAATGTTCCCATATGTGATGATCGCAATAATGCCAGTGTTTAGTGCCCCGGATTGGCCCAAACAACTCATTCTTATGTTTAAAACAAAAATTTTAAAGTCTGTTCAAAAGGATAGCCAAAGAAAAGTAGTGACAACTCATGAGAAAAGCAAATATTTTGCAAAACAAAAAGCATTGACGAAGAAAGAGAAGATAACGTGGATATTAATTATGGGATATCTCTCGACTCAATTATTTCTACCGCATTCCCATTGGATTACCAAAGGATACAACACATGGACTAATCCGAATATACCGATAAGGACCCTATACTACCAAGTATTAACCTCTGTGTAAGTGTGGTGTCAGTGACAACAGCTGTTTAGCTACGCTTTCAAAATAGAGTTAGGGCTCCAAACTTGTGATAAAATTGTTTTGATTAATTATTTGGTATACATTCAGACATTCAATAATAATCTCCAGACTATTAACTAATTAAAACTATTAAAAATAAGGAAACCTTTTTCCAAAGTTAATTAAATTTAAGCTTATAATGCATTTCATTTCATTTTAAATGAATAATAACTTTATTTAATTTTTTATTTCCTATAATTAAATGTTGGATTTTCCTTTTAATACAATTTTGTATTAATTTTATGCTAATTTAATAGTTAAAGGGTTTGATGAGTGAATATACTGTATAATAATCAATGATTGTCTAAATGGTTACAGACATGGACTAAGAGTATGCGATGGAGCCATCACTCAGATATGGTTAAACAGTACGCTCTGTGCGCTCACAAGCGTCTCATCAAAGAGTTCAACATAACTGATCCGTCCATTCATATCGATTCGTGGATATCATTGAACGGACGCTTCGCGCAGAGAGTATACGACCCTCGCGTCGATTTAGTTCGCGCCGAGTGGTCACCATTCAAACGGCCCGATTGGGTGCTTCCCATACTCTCCCATCTGACTGATTGGCGGCACAGACTTAAACAATATGAACACAATCTATACAAACAAAATGATTACAATTCAGTCATATTTATCGCCGATTTTCCAGGTCTTTAGCAATTGTTTTAAATTATTGCTTACAATTGAACTTCAATTATAGGCTTAACGCTAAACAATTACATCGGCTCTGAGTTCGGCAACACATCACTCACTGTACTCAAGGGTTGGCTGAAGATAGAGGTGGACGACGACCACTACACTCGCATTATGAGTGCCGGCGATCACATGACACTCCCAGTCAAACGCTTCCATAGAGTGACACCAATCAAGTCAGAGGCGGCCGCCTATATGTTCACTCATATCAATGCAACCAATTCTCTGGTCAATGATATTCAAAGTAAACCAATTGATGTCAAACAAGACATTGCGGCCAAAGTGGACGATAAGAATGCATGGATTAGAAGGTAATTAATGAGATGTTGTCCGCAATTCATGACAAGTATTACAATGTGTTTTGCAAACTTAGTTCCGAGAATATGTGGATTGGATTGTCAGCAGTGATGCTTTATTATCCGGTTTGTAAAAGTTGTGATAAATTCACAAGTAAATAAACAAATCAGATTTATACATCACTTTCATATTTAATTAGCGCTTATGCTAAATGTGTGTTTTTCTGTACATAAAGAATATCTATTAAATCAGAAAAATCTAAAATCAATGTATTTTTAGATAATTTGTTAATGAATTTAGTGCTGAAATAGTCATGAAAAATGCTTCCTATAAATGGTTTGATAAATCTTTTACAAAGATTTCGATGAAAATGTTTGTATTTTTAAAAAATGCTTTCAATTATTATTATTGATATAATAAATGGCATTAAAAAAGAGAAAAAGTTTAAAAAAAAGTCATGAATAAAATGTTTGTTTCATTTGATTATATGATTAAATATTAATAAATCGGATGAGAATCGGGAGAACGACGAGAGGACAGGACAGGAGACGGGCTCTTATGTGGGCTTCTGTCCGGTGGCGCCCTTCTTGCCGATCAACGACTTGTGGATGTGAGGGATCACACCTATAGAGACACAGAGGGAAAGGGATGGGCGTTAGGTATGCATCAAAGAGAGAGCCATTTGGCGCCAAAGATACGCACCTCCGCCAGCGATGGTCGCTTTGATCAGCGAATCCAACTCTTCGTCGCCTCTGATGGCCAGCTGAAGATGACGGGGAGTAATGCGCTTCACCTTCAAGTCTTTGCTCGCATTGCCCGCCAACTCAAGCACCTGTGCGGACACAACACACACACCGTTAACATACCGTTCAATAGCGCGTCCCATACGGGCGCCAATCCGATGGCCAAACAGACACCGCAGACAACACATACCTCAGCCGTCAGATACTCGAGGATAGCGGCCGAATACACGGCAGCGGTGGCGCCCACACGACCGTGAGATGTCGTCCGATTCTTCAGATGACGGTGAATACGTCCGACTGGGAACTGATCCACACATACAAAGACACACAAACAGACAGTGAGAGAGTGAATGACGAGTCATGCGAGTGAAACACACCTGAAGTCCAGCTCTGGCCGATCGGCTCACGGCCTTTGCCTTTGCTTTTCCCGAATCTTTTCCCGCTTTTCCGCCGGCCTTTCAATGGAGACAAACAGTGATTACATACACAATACATATTGACATTGATTGCACTGTTTGTATGGCATCACCACTAACTCAATGCCACACAAACACATTCAACACCGCTTTAAACACATTATTATAACAAAATTAACACAAAATACATACCATTTAAGCGATAATTTGCAGTGAATTAGTGGTCAGAAATGCAATCAAATGTTGTGTCGAAACCAAACGCTAAGCCTTTTTCAATACAATCGCCAAAAGCGCGTAAAACTCAACACTCGGAGGGAGTGCTCACTGTTTGGCGCAACAGCCGCTCCCCTATTGTATAGCGCTATGAGTGCAGCGCTTTGGCAGCGCTATTGAGTGGCGCTTACAGTAGTGACTGTCACCCCATCGCTGTATTGGCGCTCATTTTCACGCATAACACTGTGTTTGTGTTGAGCGCCACTAATGCACAGCCAATCACAGCCTTCGCAACCACTCTATTCAATACAATTGCATACAATTCTCACAAACAGTTGTGTTTGAAGTCAATGCAAATAATCCAGTGGCGGATCCCAAACATTATCAATAGTTTGCGCGCTAAACCTCTGGTGGCGTATCCCTCAACAATTGCCAACACTTATTGCGCGAACCATTCAAACAATGCCTAACAATACAGAACCGGCGGTACAAGTGGTGCACACTTTTCAAAGCCGCACACAATATACCCGTAGAATAGCACTGAACAGCACTGACCCGCATATTATACCCGTATTATATCATACTTACATTGGTTTGAAATGACACAATAAGTACCCAAACCATATTGACCATGGTCATACATGATAGTTTGATGCTAGTTTGGTGTTGACCATGTTCATTTATTCATTCAACTCAAACTGGTTTATGTTTATTGCAATTTAGTTGTGGTTTACAATAGTTTTAGTAATTGAATATCACATTCATTATCGCTATTACAGTGAATGAGTGCTATATTTATGGATTAATTTAGTTGTTTTGTTGTAGTGTTTAGTAAATTGATGTCATATTCAGTGTATAAAACTTGAATTTGTAGTTCAATTGAGTTTACGATTAGTTAACAATATTTGAGGAAAATATTAATTGATTGAAACGATTGTCAGTATTAGTGACACAAATGAGTGGTACATGTGATGGACAGGTGGTGGACAGGTATTGGACAAAAGTGACCACTTTTTGATCGCATTTACTCTAATTGTTATCAAAGTATATGACATTGTGTTGAGAGAGAAAGTGAAAGGATTTGTTTGGGAAAAGTTTAGTTCAATTCCTATGAGTTTTTATGAATATATTCAATATTATCAGTGCTTTCCGTGACTTTTAGAACTGTTTGAAAACTTGCGATTAGTTTTACCACTAATTTCTATACCCATTGCCCCCAAAGAAAGTTTGCATTAAATTATCACTTCAGATGATTATCCCATTTATGTTTAAGATAATGAAAATAAGTGCTAAATAATCATAATTTTCAATAGGTTTTATGTATAAACTAGCATTTTTAGTGTCTATTTAGCTGTAAATTTCTTATCACAACTTTATGAATGCATTTTAAAACTACAACTAAAATATAAAATTAGTTATCGATTTACTTTTCAAATAAATTTATAGATACTGTTTGTGTTAAACACTGCAAACAATCAGTGCCTAAAAAATGTTATAAATATTTGGAGTCAATTGTAATTTCTATAGAAAATCTATTGTTTTTTAAATAACTAATCGATTTGTAAAGGCATTAAATTATATAAGTATTAAGTTATATAACATGTGTTTTGTTTTTTGCGCATAAATCACAATTGATAGACACCTTTCGTTGAGAGAAAGGTCTTCAACACAACACACAATCACATTAATTTAGTCCCAACTCAACGGAACTAATCGTTATTTCAAATAAAATGTTTAGCACTTATGACATAATAATTTGAGTTTTAGTTTAAGTTATTTAAGTATTACTAAAGTTACGAAATATTCGTTAATATGGATACAGTATTTGGTTAGTTCAACTTAAAATGTGAGCCATTTTATTGCAGTTAATCCAACGATCGGTACATATCTTCCAGTTGTCGGTCAAAGTATTTCCGGATCTCTAATCTCTGCACACAATTGTAAATAAAACAAAATTATTAATAATCAATGAATTTGCAAATGGATAAGTGTATAGCACGTGCACTTTGATCACGTACAGTTTCGCACTTAACCTAATTATAATAAATAGTAATTTACTTTAGTTTTAAGTGTTGGGGTCAACAATCCGTTATCAATAGTGAAGGCCTCGTAGTGTAGATAAATGTCTCTGAGCTGTTCGAAGCCAAGCAAACCCTCCTTTTTGCCCACACCTAACAAGTCATTCATTACCACTCTCTTCACTTCCTATTAGTAGTTCAGGCGATCATTAATTAGACGATACAATCGTTTAATTTAAACGCAAAATCTTACTTTATTTTGACATAAATCCCTTAAAGTTCCTCTAATATTGTTTTTCCTGCACCAGACGGTCAGAGTAGTGACTTCTGGCACCACAACCGCCACTAAACATGACTTAAAACTCTCGCCGTAGACAAAGATCTGAGCGATGAATGAGCTTTTGCTGTAAATGCCTTCAATCTTTTCGGGTGCGATATATTCTCCTTGACTTAACTTAAAGATATGTTTCTTTCGGTCTATTATACGAAGAGTTCCGTTCTGTAGGTATTGTATTCAACAGAATTTAATGTAACACTCGGTATATATACATAACATGGATGCGCCAAACCTCAGTCCATTCGCCGATATCTCCCGTCTTTAGCCATCCGTCAGGAGTGATGACAATTGCGGTCTTTTCCGGGTCTTTGAAATAGCCGTTGAAAACAATGGGTCCCTTAACCCAAACTTCTCCCCTCCCATCGTTGGTATAGTATTGCATGTCTGGCACACTCTCTAACCGTATTGAACAGCACGGAAGCGGTGGTCCCACATGTCCTGAACGCAAATGTTTATAAATAAATAGATATAAATTTATGTAAATTTGTTTGCCAGGGCTTTGCTAACCTGTTCGATAATCACCAGGTACAGTTAGAGTACACGGGCAAACACACTCTGTTCACAGTAATCAATACACAAGTTGTTTAGTTTTTAAGACAAATTTAAGAAATTTTTATAAATGCATAAAAACAGACCCGTCTGTCCGTAACCCTCGACTATCTGTAAGATAACATTTGAATTATTCAATTGGGAAGTGATTTCAATGTGATTGTATGCCATACCACACATCCGAGAGCGCATCGCATGAATTCCAATACATTAGGACTGAGTGGTGCGGCTCCGCATACAATGAGCCGCACTTTACCGCCCATACCATTGCGTATGGGTTTGAACACTAGTTTATCCCAAAAGCCATTTCTTCGGATTACTCTCTTTTGAAGCTCCGATAGTTTGCTTTCAATGGCTTTCCTTAACAGCCATTCTTTCAATTTGTTTCCCTTAATATTTGTGTGACATTTATCATAGATTCGGGACATAACTCGTGGTACCGCTAAATATCATAAACAACATTCAAGTTATTAATTTCACATAATTGCGACAATCAATTAGTTTTTAGTATTATAATACAAATAATGTATATTCATTCAAAATTAGTAATAACTATAACTATTAACTATTTAAGGAATATTCTGGTGAATAAGTATTGTATATTTGTAATAGTAATCTAGATGGTCTAACCTGCGAGTACAGTTGGTCTGACAATTTTCATATCGTCGGCCAAATTTTTGATGTCACCGCTAAAGAAGGCTGTCTTCCCTCCGACCATAAATACGGCAGACTTTCAATGGGTTTAAATGTCAAATGAGTTTTTGGATTTGTTTAATGTGAAAGTGAATGTCAAATGAATACCTGACAACACCTCTCAAACATATGAGCCAAAGGAAGAAAGGATAGCATTGTGTCATTCTTGTTGGTCGCCTCATCACCCTATATGTGACAATCATTACTTTATCAATCATTTCTAATCATTTATTAAGCGTTTTGGCGTTTAAATCATGTCAAGAACGGGTGGTTTGCACTTATTGTTTGTCTATAATAGTTGCCTATCAATCGATAATCATTAATATGTAAAATGTGATCGATTTTTACATCTGTTTTCAGGGCTTTGCTTAATGCGTCCACTTTTTGACATTTGCTATAAATATAGTTTAGAAATCACTTACCATTTGGTAGAGAACAGCACAGATATTTGCTATAATGCCACCATGGCTTAACATCGCTCCTATAGTTTACAAATAAGATTTTAATTTGAATAATTTTGATTTATTCTGTAAAATAATCTTAAAATATTTATAACAATAATTAAATTATTCTAAACATAATTAAAATCAATTAACTTAATAACAAGAATATAACATACATGTATAATAAAATTTAAAACAAAAATATTTAAATAAATTATGAAGTTAATATTGTAAATTCAATTACTTTAATTTATTAATGATAATAATATAAACCATTAGGTTAGTAATTATTGCTTACCTTTTGGCAAATCTGTAGTTCCACTCGTATAACAAATGAGGGCTAAATCGTCAGGTTTTGGAGGCTTTTAATGAAATATACCAAAACATGAAAGAATTAAATGATTAATTTGTAAAATATAATCAAATTATAATTACAAAATCTTTGATGGGGTTCTTTTGTCCTAAACTTTCAATTTCCTTAACGGTTAGCACTAAAAATATTCACACAATTAGTTAATAGTTATAGAAAATAGTTATTTATACCTTTGATGCCATAATTGATTGCTTAAAATGACAATTAAATGATACAACAATTCATTAGTTTAAGGCAAGAATAACGAGTAAATGAATAAAAAATACCTTTACTTTTATAACTTTGCGGAATATCGTTGGCTATAATAATGTATTTAAGAGAAGACATGTTATTTGCCTGACTTAGTAAAGCATGGAATCGGTCCTCTTTATCACAGACTACACAAGAAATTTCGGCTAATTTTGTACAACAAATACATAATCATTATTAAAGTGAAAAATAAAACTTATAAATAATGTAACTTATGATTAATATTCACACCTTTATTAATGATATAACGGCAAGCATTGGGTCCGAGTGTGTCGTAGAGGGGGATAACAACTAAGGATTGGCTGTAAGCGCCGTATTCTGCGATCACATACTCTACACAATTAGTTGCATAGATTCCGATGAATGTGTTTTGTCCACATTTAAGGCCCATATGAATGAGTCCATCACCAAAATGTTTGACACGAGCCAATACTTGAGCATAAGTGAGCCAATCGACGGCATTTGTTTTCTTATTGATAGTTCCCACACAATTGCCGTCAACTATAATCGATACCCATATATAAAACAATATCAGACAAAATATTTAAAATTAATTATGTGCTCAACAATTTGTAATTAAACATTTATTGTTTGGATTAAATTAGTTTAAAAAAGCATTTATCGATTAAATTTTTAAGCGTTAAAATTACCCGATTCTGTAGTACCACGTGATAAGACTTGATTTAAAGTGAGACAATCATCAAAGAGGTGGGTTAAGGGCTCTCTTATCCCATAAATTTTTGAGTTTCTCTGTAATAAATCGCTCTGAAAATGCAATAAAATACACATTTATTACAATTGAACACATCATTAGGTGTGATATAACCAAAGGGGACGCAAATTGCTAATATTTTTAAATAAAAAATTTTTCTTTATAATTATCCGTAAATTATATTTGAATAGAAATACAGTAATATTCCTATTTTATGATTTATATGTCATGTAAATTAATTTTTGCTGTTGTATATTAATAATTTAAAAGAAGTTTGCTAAAACACAATATTAAAACATTGCGCTATATGAATTATAAAATTATATGTCAAACATTGATGGGTAAATTATAGCAAATAAAATGTATTGGTTATGACTTCTTAATTATTATTTATAAGTTTCTAAAACTATAATTACGGGAAAGATTATATGATTCTTGCGGTCATTGAAGGATTATTAATATAAGTAATAGAAAGCAATTTCAATCATACATCTGATACAATGGATTGTTCATCAAAATTGATTCCTTCGCCGATTGGCTGTGGTTTTCTGAACGCCATCCGAAGAGTGTAGACACCGATTATGGACAACGTTATCGACAAAGCACTCCAAACGCTATACCATTCACTCTCCATTCAGGATCAATTGGTTCCTCATATTTGAATCACTATTTATTTGACATTCAAATATAACGTTTAATACATTATTAATAATTGCATTTTATTTTACCAAGCATATTCTATGTATGTGTGTAATAAACTATGCATTAAACACGAATGCATGTTAAAGTTCGTTATTTATTATGGTTATAATGTTAATAAACAAATAAAAGTTGTCAATTTTAGTAACTATATTACAACTTTACATCACTAAATAAGTAGAGCTTTTGAATGTTATTGAGAATACATTAAAACATATCATTTTCATTATTATGACAATTTCTGGTGTGTATTAAAATAGAGTGTAATATTGATTATACTTTCGGCAAACAGAAGTCAATTTGAAGGTAGCTTTAAATCGTTAAAAATTCTACTATTTATTGATTTTTTCATAAACTTTATAAATATTATAAAATATATAAGAAAACGCAAATACATTAGAAAACGCATGAAATGCTCGGAACATTAATTATTGTATTTTTTATATAAAAATAAATTATTGAAAAAAACTTACAAAATTAGCATATGGTTGACGCCAATCAAATAAAATTTGAAATGAAAATATAAATATTAAATTTATACTGTAATCACTAAAACCAATCAAAATCATAAGTTTGTATAACTCTATCATTTATTTGCTCTTAACTAAAGTTATTTTTGATAAGAGAAGACTTAAAAATATTTGTTTTAAAAGCGGTGGCGCCCACACGACCGTGAGATGTCGTCCGATTCTTCAGATGACGGTGAATACGTCCGACTGGGAACTGATCCACACATACAAAGACACACAAACAGACAGTGAGAGAGTGAATGACGAGTAATGCGAGTGAAACACACCTGAAGTCCAGCTCTGGCCGATCGGCTCACGGCCTTTGCCTTCGCTTTTCCCGAATCTTTTCCCGCTTTTCCGCCGGCCTTTCAATCAAACAAAACATTGCATTACTATTGCATTCAATACACAATACATATAGACATTGATTGGCATTCAGTGTCGATCACCACTGACTCAATGCCACGCAAACACATTAAACACGGCTTTAAACACATTATTATAACCAAATTAACACAAAATACATACCATTTAAGCGATTATTTGCAGTGAATTAGTGGTCAGAAAATGCAATCAAATGTTGTGTCGAAACCAAACGCTAAGCCTTTTTCAATACAATCGCCAAAAGCGCGTAAAACTCAACACTCGGAGGGAGTGCTCGCTGTTTGGCGCAACAGCCGCTCCCCTATAGTATAGCGCTATGTGAGCAGCGCTTTGGCAGCGCTATTGAGTGGCGCTTACAGTAGTGACTGTCACCCCATCGCTGTATTGGCGCTCATTTTCACGCATAACACTGTGTTTGTGTTGAGCGCCACTAATGCACAGCCAATCACAGCCTTCACAACCACTCTATTCAATACAATTGCATACAATTCTCACAAACAGTTGTGTTTGAAGTGAATGCAAATAATTGAGTGGCGGATCCCAAACATTATCAATAGTTTGCGCGCTAAACCTCTGGTGGCGTATCCCTCAACAATTGCCAACACTTATTGCGCGAACCATTGAAACAATGCCTAACAATACAGAACCGGCGGCACAAGTGGTGCACACTTTTCAAAGCCGTACACAATATAGCCGTTGAATAGCACTGAACAGCACTGAACAGCACTGACCCGCATATTATACCCGTATTATATCATACTTACATTGATTTGAAATGACACAATAAGTACCCAAACCATATTGACCATGGTCATACATGATAGTTTGATGCTAGTTTGGTGTTGACCATGTTCATTTATAAGTTCAACTCAAACTGGTTTATGTTTATTGCAATTTTTGGTTTACAATAGTTTTAGTAATTGAATATCACATTCATTATCGCTATTACAGTGAATGAGTGCTATATTTATGGATTAATTTAGTTGTTTTGTTGTAGTGTTTAGTAAATGGATGTCATATTCAGTGTATAAAACTTGAATTTGTAGTTCAATTGAGTTTACGATTAGTTAACAATATTTGAGGAAAATATTAATTGATTGAAACGATTGTCAGTATTAGTGACACAAATGAGTGGTA